TTGGCGGATCTAGCCCTTTTGACAAATTCATTGATCTGGAAATGAATTTTGTAGTAAATACATAACTGATGGATGGGCATTAGATTTACATCACTCGTAGTAACCAAATAAATATTTTGCATACCTTACGATCACATGCCTTCTTTGGTACGTCTTCCAAGTCTAGAAGAAGGTCATCTTGCTCTTGTTCAAAATCATTTCCTATAGCTGCTTCATGCTCGGGCTTGTCATCAAATGACCTGAGATTCGAAAGAGAAACTGGATGAGTTGATGAAAAGTAAAGTGGAAAAATGGTTTTAAAGATTCAAAGCCTACCCAATATAGACACGTGGTGCCTTTGGAGTGCTCAGAACTTTGCCCAGTGACCACATCAGTGCACCATAAACTTTCCTCACCTCAGCTACATTACATGAGAAACCACACGATTTAATAAAAATAAAGATAAACATGTGAAATTGTGAGAATCGAAGTGAATCTACTTACCTGTTTATTATCCACTTGATTGGCTTTGTTCAAGATAACTCGTATTTTGTCTTCATAGCCTTGTAGAGATTAGATAATCTGTTCGAACTCGTCGCTGATGTCAAGCTTCTGGGGATCAAATAGGAGAAGAATGATGTCACATTTCGCAGCGAACCAGGATATTACCCTAGTAAAGTCGTAATTTCCTGGTTGATTTTCTCCGCAAACTACGCCAGGCGTGTCCACGAAGGTCATGTTCTCTAACAACTGCAAGTTGATGAAGATAATTGACGCTTTATAAAGATGCATTTATTATACATGCAAAAAAGTAAACAAAAACGGATGTTGCATTTGTGAAACCTGAAACTTGGACAAAAAGGGCTCACCAAAGCTCGTCAAACCAGTAAATGGTAGGTCCGTCTGCACCGCAACCGTGTGTCCGGGAATTGTCCTATCAGCTGGTCCAGACTGAGAAGATAAACAGGATGCGATTAGAAATACAGAAACACCAAGAAAATAAAAAATACTAGAACACGACAGATTTATACAATTACACATAAAAGAGTAATGTGGAAACAAGATATAACCCCACAAAAAAAACATCCTCACGATAGCATTACAGGCAGAGCATTATAACAAATAGTTTGAAAATTGAGAAAGACCAAATATATATTTTCATATTAATAATTGTGATATGCTTCAACAATTCCGACCCATTTGAGAACGAGTACAAATTTGAGAATATTACGCATAATCTAGAAGATTCCACTGACCCAAAAGCATGAGCATAGGTTTGGCATCAAAATCAGCACTAGGTCTGTAATAGGGGTGGCAATTTCTCAACTTGGACCGGATCCGATCCGGATCCATGTGGATCGGATTCAAAAGGATCCGGATCCAATATCAATCTATATGAATAGATTTAATGTGGATCGAATTTAGACCGATCCGGATTGGATCCAAATGGATCCATTTCATTTTTAATTCAATTTATGAGGTTGAATATCTCAACTTTTAGGATTTAATATCTCAATTTATGTAGTTTAATATCTCAACTTTTAGGATTTAATATCTCAATTTATGTGGTTTAATAATTAATATATAAACTTTCAAACTCACACATATTCACACACTATTCATATACACTATCACACACACGCACACACTCATATACACACACTGTTTAACACACACACCCCATTTTACACACACACACACTCTGTTTTACACACACACACACACTGTTTTACACACACACACTATGTTTTACACATATACACACACTGTTTAACACACACACACACACTCACATACACACACTGTTCTACACACACACAAACTCACATGCACACACAGCTTCTACACACACTCACACACACACACTCTGTTTTACAGACACACACACACACACACACACACACACACTGTTTTGCACACACACACACACACACACTATTCTACGCACACACACACACACACACTGTTTTACACACACACACACACTATTTTACGCACACACTGTTTTATACACACACACACTATTTTACGCGCACACACACACACACACACACACACACACACACACTCTCATGCACACACAGTTTCTACATACACTCACATGCACACTTTAGTGTGCGCGCGCACACACACACTCACACACACATTCACATGCACACACGATTTTCACGGACACGCACACACTGTTTTACACGCATACACACACTCACATGCACACACATACACACACTCACATGCACACACAATAATATTTTGACTTTTTTTTGTGAGAAAATTGTGTTGGTATTTGATTGGGTTTTAATTGGGTTTTGATTGGATCCAATATGATCCAATTTATTTTGTGGTTAAACTTTTAATGGACTTAAAGTGGATCCACATGGATCCAGTTTTAAAAAAATATCAACTGGATCGGATCCGATTTGTTTCAACTAAACTTAATCTAAACCGGATCCTTATGAACCGAACCGGATCTAATTGGATCCATGGAACCGGATCCAAATTGCCACCCCTAGTCTGTAAGTAATTAAGAAGAACACTAGCATAAACAAGTACGTTTCTCAGTCTAAAATATTGAATTATATATATGTCTCACCAGAAAAGAAGAGTCGAAAAAATTAAACCCAGAAGTAATTTCCAGTGGTTTCAGCTTATCATTATATAAAATCTTCAAGCCATCAATTAATGAAGTAAACGATAGGCGGATTTGCTGTAAGAAACGAGTTTGAAGGTGTAAGAAATGACAAGTGTGGAGTTCGTGACTGTAAGAAACGAATTTGACGGTGTAAGAAAGGGGAAGTTTGCAGTTGCTAGCTGTAAGAAGGAATATGAAAAGCCGTGTTTGTAGTGTGTGTTGTGTAGGGTTAATTTTTTGGGTAAATTACGGCCGGCCCCTGAGGTAATCTCAAATTATGAAAAAATCGCTCATATTTGAATAATTATAACTACCCCTCAACTTTTCATTGTCTGACGAAAAACCCCTTTTTCAGTAAGTAAATTTGACTCCGTACGTAAGGGTGGATGTGTAACACAATACATAGTTGAGAGGTAGGTGTAATTATTCAAACATGAGGGAAGTTTTCATAATTTACCATTACTCGTTGATGTGTGCATGTTATTGTAATTTAGGTACTCAAATTTATTAATTACTCGTATGCTATTATGAAATCATTAAAAGTGTAATTTATAGTTATACTTTAATGTACTAAAATTTAAAAGTTGCTTCCTTATCAAAAAAAAATTAACATGTATTATTACTAACTAATCTTGGAAGTTTACAACACGCAGTTTGAATTAAGATACAATTTATGATCCCTCAATCATACCAATTTTATAATCAAAGTTCAAGTCGTGTGTGTCTGCTACACAAATTGCAATTTACATGTACAGTAGAAGATACAATTTATGATCCCTCAATCATACCAATTTTATAATCAAAGTTCAAGTCGTGTGTGTCTGCTACACAAATTGCAATTTACATGTACAGTAGAACCACGATAAATTAATATTCAGTAAATTAATAATTTTGTTTAGATAATATTGTTTCTTAGTTAAAAAATAAATAAATGATATAGGGACTTTTTAAAAGTTAGAGATTAGAGATTTCACAGGTGAGTTTTTTGCACTTTATTGTTAGTATTAACAACGAGGCCCAATCTTTATCTGGACCCAGCATAGTTTTGAATCATCTGTTGATTCAATATCTTCTAGTAAATAAATTGGGCCTTGTTCTTCCGATTTCTTAGAATTTGGACCGCCATTTAAGAGAGAGAGAGAGAAAGAAGTGAGAGAGAGAAAGAAGAGAGAGAGAGAGAGAGAGAGAGAGAGAGAGAGGGAAATTACCAAATGTGAGATTCGAAGAATACTGAGAGTGATGACCGAATTTTGAGGAATTACATTTCTCTTCGCTGTTCTGTCATTTTCAAAATTTGGAGCTTTCTCAAAAAAAGAAAAAAGAAAAATCAAAATCAAAATCAAAATCGCCGGAGACAAAAATGGGTACGGGCGGCGGCCCGGATAAAGACGGGTCGGGTGAGCAGCAGCGCCGCACCGAGATTTTCACATACGAATCCCCATGGGACATCTACGCCATGAACTGGAGCGTCCGCAGCGACAAAAAGTACCGCCTCGCCGTAGCCAGCCTCCTCGAGCAGTACTCGAACCGGGTCCAAATCGTCCAGCTGGACAATTCGACCGGCGAGATTCGACCCGACCCGGCCCTATCCTTCGACCACCCGTACCCGCCCACCAAGCTCGTCTTCATACCCGACAAGGAGTGCCAGCGCCCCGATTTGCTCGCCACCTCCTCCGATTTCCTCCGCCTCTGGCAGATTTCCGATTCCGGCATGGAGCTCAAGAGCCTCCTCAACAACAACCGCAGCACCGAATTTTCCGGGCCGTTAACCTCCTTCGACTGGAACGAGGCGGAGCCCCGCCGCATCGGAACCTGCAGTATCGACACCACGTGCACGATTTGGGACATCGAGAGGGAGGTTGTCGACACTCAATTGATCGCCCACGACAAGGAGGTTTACGACATCGCCTGGGGCGGCGTTGGGGTTTTCGCCTCCGTCTCCGGTGACGGCTCCGTTAGGGTTTTCGATCTCCGCGACAAGGAGAATTCAACCATCATCTACGACAGCCCCGAACCTAACACTCCACTCGTCAGGCTCGGGTGGAACAAGCCGGACCCTAGGTACATGGCCACCATTGTTATGGACAGCAAAAAGGTCGTCGTCCTCGACATACGTTTCCCCACCTTGCCCGTGATGGAGCTGCAGAGCCACCGTGCTAGTGTGAACGCCGTGGCGTGGGCCCCACACAGCTCCTGCCACCTGTGCACTGCCGGAGACGATTCTCAAGCTTTGATTTGGGATCTTTCCCCCACGGGGCAGCAGCCGGACGGCAGCTTCGATCCCATCCTGATTTACACCGCCGGGGCGGAGATTGAGCAGCTGCAGTGGTCTACCTCTTTGCCCGATTGGGTCGCCATTGCTTTCTCGAACAAGCTGCAGATTCTTAGGGTATGAATCGATTTTCGCTAATCTGCTTGATTTAGTACTACATTTTCCGACATTCTGAAGCTCCAACAAAATCAATGACATCTTTCGGTTTTATTTAAATGTTTTGATCTGTAGCTGCGAACGTGACTTGCTAGGGTTCTTTGGTTATCTAAAAAAACAAAACTGCTCATTTCGATTTTGTTCAGTTAAGAAAACAAAGATGATTTTCGCCTTTTGAACTGAATTTGCCTTTTCCCTCTGCATTTCCGAGTGCCGAAATTTCTGCTGTTGTTGCTAATTGTAGTGTCACTGAAACCGAAGGTTGGCTTTGAATTTTGATATTGCTTAGATATATATACTCTGATGATATGCGAAATCGATTAGTGGAGAGATGAATATTCTCTGAATTTGTGATGCACTTTTTAAAGTTATTTACATTTCGGGTCTAGTTGATTTGAATCTTGAGTCGAGTTTCGAACTCGTAAGACACTTAACTCTAAAGGGTTTATTAGTTAAGCTTTTACAGTGTGAACAATGCAGTCACTGTCAGTTATGTTAGCATATCCGCATTCCCTTCGTTCGTTTCCATGACTCGAAATTGCAATCTACAAATCCTAGGATTCTGCTAAGAGATGTTGTATCCGGTAGAATACTTTCGGATTCTTGCTGCATGTACTTGTGAACTACAAGTGATTGCTGTTATATATGATCTGTGTTTGTTATGATATCAAGAAGTTGAATTTTGAGATGTAATTATTTTATTTTTATTTTTAAATTTGTGATATTAAATAGAGAGTTATATTTGTTATTTACTTATTTATATTTGTAATGTAAGAAGCATTAGAGAAGACACCAGATAAAGTAATGCAGGATTGATGCATTATTTAACAAGGTGGCCTCTGACATACATACTGTCAAATGAAAAGGTGTTCTTGCATACTAAATATCAAGGCCGAGCAAAACTTATTACACATAATATCTTGCACATACTCACTCATATCGTACATGTAAATGAATGTTGTTATATTTAATTATTATTATATACATCTGATAGGTAAGCTCGAAATTGGATGGAGTTGTACTGGATGTAGTACTTTGGGGAAGAAAATTTAATTTCAATTTTGGGTAAATTACAACTACCCCCTAGGTAAAGTGTAATTACAAAAAAAACCTATTTTTTGAAAAATTACATCAAAATCCCTGTAGTTTGTAAATATCTTACATTCGCTCCCCTACAAAAGGGTATTAATGTAAGAAATTTACAAATTGCAAGGGGTGGATGTAATTATGAAAAAGTGAAGGGTTTTTTTCGTAAATAGACCTTAATTTAGGGGGCGGTTGTAATTTACACTTCAATTTTTGTCGAAGAAAATCGATAGTCCAAGTTTTTGGAAATTGGAACGAAGAATTTGTTCCAAAATTGATTGTGCTTAATCGAAATCTAGGGTATTAATCTCTTTTTTTTTCTCGAAATTTTGAATTTTCAAAATTGTTTTTGTAAATTAACCGGGTTTGAAATCGAAATCTCATTTTGATCCAAACAATTTTAAAAATTCAGATATAAGGTTATTTCCAGAATTTGGAATTGAAAAAAAAAAATTGAATCAAAGTTATTGGAAATCGAAATGTATTCAAATTTCTATCCGTTCTAATAGGATTTAACTTGGACAATTATGGGCAGTTAGATGCTACACGTGGTGCTAGTTAATCGTAAATAAGTTTAAATAATCACCCACTAAGTAAATATACACATGATCGTGTGTGATTATGTGTATATCTACGGTTAACAGTGACCCACCCGATAGAGCATCTGATTTCAAGAAAATATATGCATGATGAATAACTAATAAGCCATTACGCATCACTATCAATAACTAATTCTATCCATATTCGCTGCTAATAAATTCGATTCATTCGGCAGACAATGTTCGAGTTGCCAGTCCTTTCTCCTCTCTGTTTTTCTGTTACTTGCTAGTTTTGAACTAATCTCTCGATTAGTTGATTAATTAGTAGTTCTTTAACGACCAACATTAGACTTGATGTTCGAGTTTAAGACATACTTAGGAGCTTAAAACTCAAATTAATGACACATACTTAATTACATTAAAATCCAAAACCAGAATATCTCTGGACAAAATATGATTGGGCAAAAATTACAATGATTCATAAAACAACGCGCTGTGCCTTTGTTCCTGCTTTGTAGCCCACTTGTTCACTATTTTGTATTCTTGTTTTCAGATTTTCATAAGTATTGGACGAAAAAGAATAATAATTAGAGGTGGGCAAATTAGTCAATTCACATTGAGAAGAAGAAGAAGAAGCATTGGCATGTGCCTCAATGGCCTTAAAATATCTTACCAGCTCTTCTTGCTTACTCCCAAATTTGATTCATTTAAGCCATGTTATAGTTAATTTGTTACTATTAGGTCCTACTAAAAAGATTCGCAGTAAAACTCAAACTCGCAGTAAAAACCGAAGTCGACAACTAAAATGTTACTATTTAGTTAAATTCTTAGACACCCTCTTCGATTAATTTTGTAGGTAGTTGGTACGAATGACGATTGTCTTCTGGAACTACTACAAGTT